GGCTTTACTTCCCTTCCGAAGGAATGCGTGATCAGAGATTTTATGCCTCAGAAAATCCCAACTGGCCTGGGTTCAATGGCCCTTTGGGGTGAGAGGCAACCACGCTTATCACTGGCACCGTTAGAAGTGGATTTTCATACAGGATACTTCGATACTTTGGTTTTAAGTTAATTGACCTAAAGTGTAATTTAGCGGCTTCAATTTTCAAAGAATAAAAATTTATAAACTCTACCTGTGAGCAAAATTTCCTAAAATTTTGAGATCCTTCGGTCCGAACCTGCCCGATAGTAAAAATAAATCCACTGTTGTACACTGGAGTCGCTTTTTACGCGAGGAATACGTGCCGCGTAAAAAAAAACCGCGTAAAAAAAAACTACCGAGATTTGCCATTCGTAATTAAAGCATGCTATGGTCCACATAGACATATTTTAAAAATTTCTGTATTTACACCAAAAATTGTAATTTTTTTAAAAGTATGCCGTTCGATAGCTTGAAACGGATATTGTGATTGGAATCAAGTCTATAGGTTGTATCGTTGTCGAGAAATCGTTAAAAACGTACCGCGTAAATTGCGACTCATCGGCACTAACCGTGTAAAAAAAACCGCGTAAAAAAGGCTTCAGTGTATTAACATTAAAACAGAAAAAAATCATCATTCCCGAATCCTACACAAAGGAAAAAAGAGGGAACTTTTCCTGTTATTATTAGGCTACATAGGGTAAATGATGGCTTCGGCAGCCATCGACTGTTTTCGGCAACCACAATTTAAACGTTAATTTCGATGTATTTTCTCACTAAAACACTTCGCTGAATGTATTTAAACGATTCCTTATTCTTTCAGCTTCAATCCTAATACATTTTTACGACTGAGCAAACCTGTTATGCTAGGTGTTTCTTCAAAAGAAACATAAGCACATCAAAATACGGCTGATTTCGAGTTGCCGATAATAGAACAGCTGGTTAACACGCAGTTTAAACGGAAAGGTTGCCGAAGTAAAAGAGGCTGCCGACAATAGTCACACTCACCTGAGAAGTTTGGAGCACCTTAAAAACGTTTTCAAACCGTTTTGGACAGTTTTGTTGATTGGAATGGATAGAATAGCTAGCAGCAGATGAATGTAAACAAACAGATACGTCATATGTGTGCGTGACACTGAGAAAATTCTAATAGAAGTGCGGAAGCTGCTTAGATTGACGAGAATACGTAAATTCCCCTATTAATTTAAATTTTCATACATTTGGGTTGGATATTTTTTTCTCGCTGTCAAGACTGAGAGAAAAGTGATCCATAGAAATAAACGCTCAAATTAACCCTTTTTTTTCTGTGAAAAAGTTTCCTCGATGAAAAATTTCATTAGCAGTCTCAAAATGCCGCATCCTTCCCAATTTGAAAGAGGTCATATATTATTCTTTTTATTTTATTTTGAACGATAACGTAATGTTGTCAGTTCCTAAAGTATATTGGATCCAAATATAAATCCAATAATCCAAATATAGATCCAATAAATACAAATTTTAATGAGAAAGAAATATTTTTCACTAAACCTGTTAAATTTAAATCGACCTTCCCCGTCGCACAGTGGGCAAAAATTGAAAAAAACCGCGGTTAAATTGAATATCTCGGCTGCCAAACGGTTTCAGTCAACATGTTATACATATTCTCAAAGGAAAAATTCTGCTAAAATTGGTGGTGGTCTCATTGGACTCAGACTTTTGTGTACCGAGATAGAGCCGGGATCAACCCGAGTTCCCGGTAAAGTAGGAAATGCCACTATCTATCGACATAATTTTACACTTTACTTAACGTATATTACTGGAAATTGATAGTACTAAGTATATATGGTGACACCATATACGCCCTCAGGGAAACTCTACTATCCGGATTTAATATTTAAGATCCGGATAATTTGGAATACATATTTTGGAATATAGTCCGATTGACCGATAAAGTGGTCACATTATACAAATTGTCTTAGAACCTTGCGATTTTTTCTATATTTGTTCAGAATCATGAATCAAAGCGAATTAAATAAAGAATTTAAATTTTGGGGTAAATTGGCCATATTCCTGGTTCAATAACATTAGTTTAAAGATAGAAAGTAAAATAAGAAGCGTTTCATTCAAACTGCTCAAACTTCATACAAATTCCACCAACCAAACTCAAAAGGCGTCGATGTTGATATTGATTTCAGTAAACCCCTCAAAATGACCCTAAGAAGAGTAACACAACGACCTTTCCTCGGATGCAAACAAACAACCAGTATAGTCACATTTTGCCGTTTGCCGTTCGAGTGGATGCAGTAAAAACCATCATCATCGGAGGCTCTATTGGAGGAGGCCACCACATTCACGACTAATACCTACTGTTTTATAATATTTACGTATGTCTTGGACGCTGATGGCGAGGAAAGAGATATACCTACCTATCTATCTACTTAATAAAAAAAATACTAAACGCGTCTGGCTCCAAGACTCTCCTCATTGAAAGCGAGTCGGAGAAAAGCCAAACAAAAACAAACTGCGCACGCCGTGCCGTAGCTTCTCCACGAAGGAGCACGGAAATGAGGCAGAAATCATGCTTCTTCTATATTTGCCTATACGTGCACTGGTCTGGCTCCCTCCCCCAATCGTACAAAGCGCGCAGTAAAAGTGCGGTAGCTCAGTAGTACCTACTAACAGTTGGCAAAGAGGTTCGTCGCTTACTGGCGATGGTCGATCCGGAGAGGCACAGTGGGAAAAAATCTGCTCAAAATCGATACAAGCTCACAACTTTTGGCCACTTCCAACCCGGAATTAATCCCACTGCACTCAGATTTCTTGAGTCTACCACACTAGATCCAAAGGAATCGCATAGCTCTCTCTCTCTTTTTCTTGGCTCTACTCTGCGCTAGACTCCCCATTGCACAGTGGTCCAGAATGCAGATTTAGCTGGAATGATATGTTTTGAGCCTGAAATTGAAACTTTAGACTAAAAGTCTCTTCTACAAAGTTGTTCCTTATAGTTAGGCCCTCATTTTTATGACAATGAATTCTAGAGTGGTTCATATTATCAGTAAAATCAAAAATCTAACTTTTTTGTTTGAATAAATTAAGGTATACATTCTTCGGCAAAGTTATAGCTGAGCTAATTTCAAGCAACTTTGTTGAAAATAACTTTTATGTATCTCTTAAATTGGCCGATTTAGAGCTATTTTCTTGAATTGAGTTAGGGTGGCTCTTAAAAAACAGTTTTTTTGCTCTATTTTTCTTATTTCGAATTTCTCAGCAAATGTGTCTTCAGATAACTTTTAGATATTAAAAAGGCGCAAATTTTTGCTGCACAAAGCTTGTCAATATCTTTCGTCGATCAAGAGTTATTGACGTTTTTATACTAAAAATATACACTTTTCAAATGTTAATATCTCTGGTTGGGGCAAACAAAAAAAAAGTTTATTGGCAGCATTTGAAAGAGCGTATGTTATTCTCAATAATATGAAAAAATTGGAGGTATATTATTTTTTAAACTCGTATAAAATCAATTTGAATTAATTCATATTTTTTACTATATTTGAGTATATCTTTTTTATTAGAAGAGATACAGGCAACAAATTCAGCAATAAAACATTCGTCTTAAAGAGTTTTAAAAGTCTCTAGGAGATGACTTTCATGATAAATTTCAAATAAAAAAGTTATTGGCAAAAGATGGATTTCATAGGACCACTCTAATGACAAATTTATATAAAATGAGATAGTACATTTGTTTCAATATTTGGACATTTAGTTACTTCGAAGAAGTTTTTGTTCTTAAAAATTCCCTTCTTTTGGTGTTTGCAGACGTCAGGGTGGTCCTCAAATTAGGGAATTTTTAAAACTAACTTTTTTGTTTTACAAAATATAAACATGTGTTGTTCAAAATAGTTGTAGTTAAGTTACTTGCAAGCAACTTTGTCGAAGAAAATTTTTTTCTATCTCTTAACGTTCTCATTTTAGAGTAATTTTTCGGAGTTGACTTAGGGTGTTCCTGGAAAAAATAGTTTTTTAGCAATAACTTTTTTATTTGAAAATTCTCATCAAAGTTATTTTCTAGAGCATTTTTAAACTCTTAAAGACGAATGTTTTATAGCTGAATTTGTTGCCTGTATCTCTTCTAATAAAAAAGATATACTCAAATAAAGTAAAAATTTATGAATAAATTCAAATTGATTTTATACGAGTTTAAAAAATAACATACCTCAATTTTTTTCATATTATTGAGAATAACATACGCCCTTTCAAATGCTGCAAAAAAACTTTTTTTTTGTTTGCCCCAACCAGAGATATTACCATTTGAAAAATGCATATTTTTAGTATACAAACGTCAATAACTCTTGATCGGCGAAAGGTATTGACAAGCTTTGTGCAGCAAAAATTTGCGCCTTTTTAATATCTAAAAGTTATCTGAAGACACATTTGCTGAGAAATTCGAAATAAGAAAAATAGAGCAAAAAAACTGTTTTTTTATGAGCCACCCTAACTCAATTCAAGAAAAAAGCTCTAAATCGGCCAATTTAAGAGATACAAAAAAGTTATTTTCAACAAAGTTGCTTGAAATTAGCTCAGCTATAACTTTGCCGAAGAATATATACCTTAATTTATTCAAACAAAAAAGTTAGATTTTTGATTTTAATGATAATAGGAACCACCCTAGAATTCATTGTCATAAAAATGAGGGCCTAACTATAAGGAACAACTTTGTAGAAGAGACTTTTAGTCTAAAGTTTCAATTTCAGGCTCAAAACATATCATTCCAGCTAAATCTGCATTCTGTACCACTGTGCATTGGTGGCTCTAACTAGGCGCTCTGCATGCGGCATCTTTTGGATCGCTAGCATGGTACTTATCAGTTTTCAATTTGCGCTTCACGACGCCGCACACAAAAACCGCACGGATCGAGATCAAACTTCTGGCAGTCGAAATCACGACTTTTCGCGATCGCGCGCCTTCTTGGATTCTTATGATACAGTGAATTCCTACAGGATTTTATTGGATCTTGCTACGACGAGGGTGCTTTGTTTTTAAAGAAAATGTAAGTAGTGATGAGGAAAATGAAGTGATATTGTCGAAGTGACGCTGTGTGTGCAAACCGATCGGAACCTGTCTAATTAACGATCAATTTGTGCTAACATGTTGCAGGAATGTTGTGGCAGGTTGTTAGTGTTATTGATAATGGGAAAAATGATTACGGTGGAGTTAGATGGATCGGGAAAACGGTGCACATGACACTGCCGTCATAGAATGCATGCATAACTGCAGCATGCAACGGAAAAGTGATCGCAGTCAGTAGTGTTTGATGGTATAACAAGTAGCGGCAAAAATGAAAGGAGGAAAAAATGAAACGAATTCACATGGTATTTATTCTCTGCAGTTTTTTTTCACATGCAGTCTTCCCTGTTGGCAGCAGCATAGTCGCGAATAGGTTGTATAGTTCTTTTTTCTGCCAAGCAAAAAAGATGGTTATAATAATAAACAATCCGCTCGTCATGATTATCGAAGTTTAATAGAGTGGTTGGGATTTTCTTTTGCTTTGTTTCTTGGTTGAATTTTTACTAAATTGACTTATGATTGATCTACGGCTTTAAGACCTGGTTTGGATGAAAGTGTAACGTATTATATTGAATGCACTGATATGATTGAGTGGAGAGGTTATAACAACGCTTTATTTGTTGATTGCCACACATTGGAGTGCTTCATCGGAAGCATGGTTAGTGGTTTATGACGAAACGGGCTCAATTGTGCAACGGCAGTGCAAATAATAGTTTACATCAATGTAGTTTTCAGTGAGTTGTATATGTTGACCAGAAGGTTAAGTTCACTGACAGTAGAGGCATAACTGCCGCAGGAAAACAATCGAAGACTGTAATATTGTGATATTTATATTCATTATTAATTATCTATTGTTATTCAAATTACGCGCCTAAGCTTAAATAAACAAATAATAGTTATACTAAAAAAACTAGAACTAGGCTTTAAAAGCTTAAAGAAACATAAAACATTAGAAAGAATCATCGTTCAGAAAACTAGTGTTGTTGAAAAGTTTCTCAAAGTCAAGATTGAGTCAAGCAATCTAAGCTCATCGTTGACAATATTTACTAATGGAGACAGGCCTGATGTATTATTCAGCATCCATGCTTCTCACACTTAAGCTCACGACTTCAAATCTTATTTCTGCATATGTCATTAATGTCTTAAACAGTGGAAGCGACTATGATATACAAAACAAACACATCTAGTTATCAGAATCATAAGGGCATCAGGATTTTCACTTTTGTTAATACCTCGGTTGAATTAAAATTTCTCGATGCATTTGATGTTGCTTTTGCTAGCTAAAAGAATTTTTAACTATAATGTTTTGAAAAAAAAACCGAATATTCCGGTTCAGTTGTCTGTAGTAATGCAAAGTGAAATTCGAAGGAGAGGCCCTTACAATTAAGAACGCTAGATGTATTAATAACCAGTAAACCAAGTTGCGTTCCGCTATTATTCGATTCTTCAAGGTAAGTAGAGAATTATTTCAAAGCTATAATAGCTGGAGTGCACTCATGTACCTGAAACAACACACTTAGAAATAACTAATTTTACACGTGACGGAATCCATCTTTCACATCAAGGATGAGACCTAAGAGGAAGAGGAGACAACTGGCTTCTTACTCTTTTATCTCTATCTAGATAAATAGATATCTTACGCACTTCAAATCGGCCAATCACGAGCTGGTTCGCTTTTGACATAAAAGTGGTTCGTTTTTGCCCCCGTATTGTCTCCTCTTCTTCTTAAGATGAGACGTAAACAAACAGGTCATGTAATATTAAGTGCTCCCAGACGGAAAAGTTCATTATTCGACAAAAAGTATGTTTGATTGAGCTGAATTTCGCGTCTGTTATGACTCATTATGACTGTCAAAGATGTACGTCACGTGTAAAATTAGTTATTTCTAAGTGTGTGTATAGAAATGTGTGTCTCAGACTCGGCGCACTACTGGGCAAACTGAAGTGGCTACGTGGACTAAAAGGCACTAAAGCAATCAAATTAACTAAAACACAGAGTGGATCATCTTAAACACTATGGTGTGCAGCGTTGCCAGATCATTTTTTGAAAATTCTGGACCAGTCTAAATATAAAATATGGATAAATCTGGAATGCACCAAAAATCCTGTTTTTTACATAAAAATCTGTCAGTATGAATATCTGGAATTTATTCAAAGTTCACCAGAATGTTTATGAAATCCTTGTTTTAAAAAATATATAAAGCCAACTTGTTAGCATTGCTAAAATCATCCAAAAGTTAAGAAAAGTGTTAAAACATTGTTCCCAAAAAGTTTAAATATCCATCAAGCAGCTTTTCAAAATTGATTTAAATTTTTTGTAAAATACTGCAGAAAATATGTTTAGGATTCTGAAGCAGCAAAGAGTCAAGCAACTTTGATGGGATGATTTTTTTAAACTAATAGTCGATTTAGTCCTTAATATTTGATACATTACCAGAATGTGTCTTAACATTTTTATTAGTTTTAAATAACTGTAATATTACTCTGCGATTGATCTGACTTCCAATTTCATTCTTGACATCATACAACTCACTCGGTAGACTAGTAGGCAATTTTATTTTAAACTAAAATTCTCCTGGCTGAAGTGAGAATCAAAGCCTAACATCGTAGTACTCACACACAGTTTACCTAAACTTCGGGTAACTCCACATGACCATTACAATTAATTATATGCAAAAGAATAATATTATTATAAAACTAAAATGAAAGTCTGAAAGCGTCATTTTTTAAGTCTCCGGATCTTGAAATGATTCTAAATTCTGGAATTTATATTTTTCCTGGGTCCCAGATCATGAAATGTGTTGTTAGTCTGAATTTACTTCATATACAGAGTTCAATTTGAATCATCGTAGAATTTCATCATACTTCTATTCTGGATTCCCCTAAACTAATCTTGTTAATATCCAAACTTTTTCAGTAACATTTTAAGAGTGCTTAGCATTATCTCTTGTAATCTCTAGTAAATCGCTCTCTGATTCCACAATTCCCTCAAACTGGTAATAATTTCCAAGAATTGACATAATTTTGTCTCATTTTTTCTCTATGAAATTCCCTTCGAATATTCTTAATAGATTCATTGGTACGCTCTTCAGAATGACCGTCACATTCTTCTCAGACTAATCTTCTTCAGTATTTCCTAAGTACTCAAGTACTTAGCCATAATAGCTTTGAAAGTATCCAAGAAATTGCCAGATTTCTTAAAACTTGATAAACCCTAATCTTCCTAGAAACATTGGACATAATTCCATTGAAATAATTCTCTCGATTCGTATCAGCATTCTCCTTAAGTTTCATCATCACTGTAAACTATTTTCAGAATTACCTTAAAATTCTGAAATCTAGGGCAATTCAGAATTCTATAGTATTGCAGACTGCTAAGGTAACTCAATATTCACAGGTACTTTAAAACTCTATTTAAAAAACTAATTAATTATCCTCGAAAATATCACGAACATACTTCAAAGTCCTGGTGGTTGACTAGATTCGAAAGCCTTGCTAATTTTCTAAAGCTCAATTCTGAACAGTTTTCGATTTCTCTAAATACCAAAATTAGGAACATTTCTTCCAGGATTTCAAAAAAAAAAAATATTATAGTCAAAATCTAAACTTAAAATTAATTGGCTCGATATTTTTAAAAATTTTAAAATTTTTGACAGCCAACAATGTTTAGAAAATGTCTCAATTTTCATGATTCTGCAATCCATTGCAAACATGTTGTAACAATTCCATGTATGATGTTGTAATAATGTCCAACGTTGATGGCCTTTAGTAATTAAAGTAGTAAGTTTGGCTTTGTATTTTTTTTTATTAGAGAGTCCATGTTTAAAAAAAAAAAACCTGAAAATAAACGTGATCTGTCTGTGTATCTGGCAAGACGACTGAAAATCTGATGGTGTGCATTGTGAGGTGTGGTCGATATTCTGTCACATACTTTTGACGACGATGACGACTACGACGACGGCAATACAGCGAGCGCTCGCTGCGGTTCCGGAACGATTCTGTCGATGGTGGATGATGAAAGGCCGATCTGAGAATCCGGAACAATTCCGGCAATGGCGGATTTTACAAGGCTGGCCTTGTCGGAAAGATGGTGGTTCCACTGACTAGTCTACCGGTGACTACAGCGAGATGGCGTTTGAACTAGCGCGTCGTTGGTTTTATCTGGTATAGCAGTTTGTGGAGATGGTTCCGATGCACAGGCGCTTCCTTCTAACGTAGCCGGTTGACGACGGCAAGGCCACCCTCTGTCGAGCCGGGAAGGGAAATTGTCCTTTACTTGTCCTTTACGTTTAGGTCAAGGCAACTAAAACGCCACCTAGACCGTAGCGTGCAATGGCGGTCCTTGACTTGCCAACCGGAGAGCGATTTGATTTATAGAAAAGGTCATATCGAGGAGGTAAAATTCATTAATGCCATTCTTCGACCAATTTCGAGGAATGCTTAGAATTTACTTTAATCAGAGAAATTGGCCATTTGCACTTTACCTTGATTCACTACTCGCATTTGATATTCTGTTAAAAGTATACTCCACAGACACTTCAGGTCTACACGCTCGCCTGAGATAAAGTGCACGATGGCCGTTCTTTATGGGGTGTTTACACTTATGCTATTTCACTAGCGTTAATGAGTGAGCCGATAGCAAAAAAGCTCACAAGTATAATGTAAACAGAGCATCAGCGTCTACCAGCAGGAGATTTCAGGAGCAACTGTAATTCGTGCTAGTTGGCTAGTATACTAGCTCTAGCAAAACCGCACAGATGTAAACACACCATTAAGCATCGCAGAACCATTCAGCTCATCACCCGTGACTCCGTGTCACCATTTTGCCGCGGCCATGCACACCTTATTCAGCAATCGGCCGTTAAGTATGGCCGTATCGTCTGTCCAGCAAGTGTTATACAAATTTACTTGAATGCTCGATCACCTGGTGAAAATTTAAAATATTGTATTGGACCTTTGTAACTTAACGGTTACACACCATTC